TTACAACACGGTTGTTCTTATTAGCATCATCATCATCATCATCATCTCTACACCACCTATAGGCAAAGTGCTCTGGATAGTTCACAACATTCTAAGTCCCCCATCCAGGTTTCAGCCAGGCCTGACCCTGCTTAGCTTCCAAGATTAGGCAGGATCAGGCGCCTCAAGCTACATATATTGCATTGTGGGGGATGGGATACAGTTAATATGGAAGATGAGAAGACAGGGGGTGAGGAGCAAGTTGAGTATTTGAGTATCTCTCCTATTATAAGCAGTAAGATTATCGAATCAGAAAAAACAACCGGAAGCTGGACAAGAATATCCTTGGTGCAGGAGCTGCTATGAAAATCCCAGAATCCAAAGCAAGCAAGAAATATTGGCTGTAGATGCACCGAATGCTTTCAAGAGTTGGTGTATATGATAGAAATGGATGGGTTTATTCTGTTTTGCATGCCTTGGTCTGCCCTCTGCCCATATCTCCTAATTCATTGCGTTGTTTCGAACTGTTTTGGTTTAGACTTCAAACGCAGCACTTAGCCTTCCCTGCTTGCAAGCCCTTTGCCTCTTCAATAACAACGTAGACTCCCATATTCATTACACAGCCTGGAATACCGCCCAAAATACCAAATCCATGGTTATTTGTAAAGTGACTTTCTTATTCTCATAATTATAGAGAAGGATAAAAAGCAGCAATGAAACAGAGGAGGAAAGCAGAGGCAGAAGGTTTAGAGTTGGGACTGGAATATCGTCATAAGCGGCTCGGTGGAAAAAATATTTGGAAAATCCACAATTAGACCCTGCTGCCATTCATACCTGCTGCCACCGTTCCTTCTGCTAACCTGGCACCGCACGGCTGAGGGCTTTCCCCCTCGGTCCCGGGTGTGCGGATGCATTGCAGTTGCTCTGAAGCAGTGAACCAGAAGCAAGCGACATTCATCCATTTCACTTCTAAACTGCCCCACAGCTCTCTGGACAGTTTACACAGTCCATTTAAAAGCAGGATAAAAATGCAACAAAAATAATCATGAAAGCAGGGGAAAATATTAAGAAGTATAAAGCAGCCAAAAACAAATAATGAAATGATAAAAACAAACTATAATTACAATAACCCAGCAGCAATCACAACCAGAACAAACAAGAAAAGATGATTAGGGATAGATGGTACTGGAATCTTGCGATGGGCCAGCTAATTAACCCTCCCCTCTGTGATTTGGTGCAACCAAAGAGCCCCTTAATTTGAGAAGAGCCCCGTTCAAGTCATTGACCAAGGGTCTGGGATTAGTGCTGTGAAGCCCTGCTGTTCAGAATTATTTATCCGCATGAGCCCGGGCTCATCCCTCGGACCGAAAGCCAGCCCCAGGACTGGACTTGGGTACAAATTATGCCTTTTGATCCATGGCTGGAGGACACATGGGAATGGGTGAAATGCCACAGCAGCAGATCAAAGTTTGGAAGGCGGTACTGGATCAAGATGAACATTGTGGACTGAAGGACCTCACGCCCTGCCTAGCACTGCTAGGCAAAACCCACCTAAGCCGACTCTCCAGCGTATATATTTTAAACTCTTGCATGCAATTTGCCTTTTGCTTTATGCCATTTTTTAAAAAAATCTAGGTTCTTCAGAAGAACTTCTTGGTCTTCTCCAGATTCTCACCACACTGAGAAAGATTAGAAACTTATTTTTAATTGGAAAAAAATAAGCTGAAAGACTGGGGGTGGGGAGCAGATCCCGAATCATCTGACTCCTGTTATGAAATCTGCAAATGCTCGCAATTTGCATCCAGGATTCAATATTACCAAATCTCAATCTAAGGCTTCCTCACGCGCCTCAAGGAGGGCGTGAAAAAGGCCAGGGGGAGTCGCGTTTCCTGGAGGTTGCTGTTCTCGCATTTAACGGTTCCACATGTGCTAAGCCTCTGACAGCATCTCAGAGCATGCTTGCGTGGCCACGTGGCTCGTTGCCACGGAGACCAGAAGCTCCACATCTTTTCAAGCCTGGACCGATGGCTTGCTTTAAGCTCCCATGTCCTCTGCGGGGTGGGTGGGAACTAAAAAAAGTTAACGTGCTACCATCTATATACCAACACACACAAGCAGTGTTGGCCAAATCTCATTTACTGGTCCTGCCCACGCGATCGTCCACCCCCACAGCCAGGATTTAAACTCTCCCCTCAGCAGCTGCTTGATTTCTTTTGCAAGCATAGCCAAATCTTGAGTTTTGGGGATCTCAAATTGTAGGATGGGCCCCATGGAGGGATGTAAAATCCTTGGAAGGGGGCATAGACTCAAAGGGATGACCAGGTCCAGGGACAGGGGAAGATTTTGCCCCCTTACCAACCAAGAACGCATCCCTAATGTAGGAATTTCTCAAATTTGTGGGACTGACTGTGTCCAACCTATCCTAACTCCTCAACATGCTTTGGGAAGAATGAATTACAGGAAGAGCCGCTCTTTCAACCCAAGCAAAGTCCCTTCGGTATAGTTGTAGGATGCAGCTTCAAGCTGTGGATACAAACGCTACATTCGCGTAGCACTCATTGTTCTGAATGGGGTACATGGGGTCTCCACCCAGTTTCAACCAAACTGTGCCTCCCCCGTCTGGTCCTCCAAAGCAGCAACTTATGGGAGCATCACAAAATGGTAGAGACCAGAATACAGAATAAATTTCAAACAGTCTCCTGAAAATCAAGCGTTTGGGAAAATACTGCTTTGCAAAGAAAAGCCCAGTGCACTGGACTTCGGTCCCCAGAGAGAGAGAGTAAGAGAGAGAGAGGGAGAGGGCAACTCCACAAGGCATTGATTTTGTGCTTGTGTAGATCCCTCACAAGTCAGTAGGGCCTGTTCATATGTCGTCAGCCTCTGGAGCCTCTCCCATGTTTTCCAGCCATTTTCGTAGGGGATTTTTTGTTTGTTTATTTGTTTTCAGAGCAAGAACAACGAGCTATTAAATTGCAAACTGAAACAAAACCCTTGTGTGTTGTTGCAAATCCACTGTACTCCAGCTGCATCACAGAGCTGCCTTGTTAATACAATAAATGTAGAGAAACCCAGGGAAAGGGAGAGAGCGAGAGAGATTTACTGCTTCCAAAACCAGTGTATGTTGTTCTGGTCCTGCCTCCATGAACCTCCAAATAAATGGATTTCCCAGTTATTCCCCATCCAGTTTATTTCTCCACATGATTATAACCAAAAGGATAGCTTTATATATGTCGCACCTTCTGGTGTTACAGCCATGGCCACTAATAGCCGTGCGCATTCTAATTTGGCCATACCTTCAACATTCTTTGAAAAGTTGAAATTGGTGGCCACCCTTTAGGAAAGCGTGAGAGCACCCAGCTCAGAATTTGGGGTACATGCAAAGGATGGCACTGTCAATGGTTCAGGTATCCCAAGACATGGGTGCCAAAATATTTGGGCGAGCAAAAATGCATGTCCCATCTAGATGCATGCATGGGAATAAGAATCGCCCAGAGATCCCGAGCCCTGGGGCCTTAGCGGATCTGTTGCAAGGAGGTGCAGGCACCCATGCAGCCTCTCCATACATGCTGAGGATTCTTGCACAGGTAGGGGAGTCTGCAAAGCGAGGGGCTGCGGATGGAAGGGGGGGTGGCATTGCAAGCATGGACCAAAGCAAAGCACGCGATACAAGGCCAAGCCACTCCATTTCCCTTGCCCAAATGTGTCAGGACATAAGGAAAGCCCTGCTAGAAATCACACCCAAGGTCCATTCGGTTCAGCAGTCCTCGCACATGGTGGCAAACCAGCTGCCCACTGGATCCTTCAAGCAGGATGTGTGCAAGAGCTTCACCTGCCCAAGGTCTTCAGCAACTGGTTATCCAGGGATGCCTCCTCTGGTACTCCATGGCCCTTGAGGGATTGCCCATATAGAAACTCCTCTTTCTTTGCTAGCACGTTACTAGCGGGGCTTTAGCCTCGGTCTAGGCTAATGCCAGGAAGAAAGAACTGGCAGCCAACCAGAGACAACCAAGCCAGTTTCCCTCTTTTCCAGCTTATTGATATTTATTATTTATTTATTTAAAACATTTTTATGCCGCCCCCATCGCAACAAAGCCTCGGGGCAGCTCACAACAAGAAAAAAAATCCGACACATGGTGCCTGGCCACTAACTTCATCAGAAATTATATAATCCATCTTTACAAAACACAACTCCAAAGAACAACGGATATTTTTAAGATCACATTGGCGAAACGTCTATTGGTGCCAAGCCAAAGGCCTACATCCGTTCCAAAATGGAATCAATGAGTCAAATTCTCTTGCAACGTTCCTGCTGTGCTATTCCTTCCCTCTGCTACACGTTTATTATAGTGTATTATATTTTAATTGATGTTTTGTGAGCCGCCCCGAGGCTTCGGCGAATGGGGCGGCATAGAAATTTTCTAAATAAATAAATAAATAAATGTATCTGCTCTGATTTAATTCACTATCATACTATTCCATATTTTCCTCTCCACTAACTGAGAAAGAGTATATCAGAATTCCAACCTTTTGCCAATCACATACATGCCTAAGTTAGTATGCTGTTTACCCTTACATTATGTTCTTTCCTTTCACGTCTTCCTACTGCCTTTAACAAAACAACTTGAGGGCTCAGCCAAACAGCCTCCTGCCTCTCAAATTCCTGGTTCAGTGTATAAAAGACCGAACATTTTTAACTTGAAGCCATTCACACTAGACACATGCAACTGTTCCTCTCCCCCTTCGGCCCATCCATTGCAATTTTGAGAAATCGGGGTACATTCTTACCAGTCTAACTGGCATATAATACCATTTATGCAATACGTTATTCTCCTATTATGTCGCAGCCCATACCGGCTCAGTATGGTTAACTGATCCTTTTACCAGCTTCCTCACTTTCTTTTTATTAAGGGAGCCGACAAAAATTGACAGAGTACAGCTGAAGAATTCTGGTCAAACAGGCCTGGTCAACACCTCCTATTTGCAATCTTGTCTAATGAAAGAGAAATAAGGCACTGGCTTACCCAGAAAGTACTCCCAGGACAAGGTTGAGGACAAAGAATGATCCAATGATGATGAGGGGGATGAAGTACAGCCAGTTCCAAGTGGCTCCTAAGGCATCGTTGGTCTGGAGGAAAGAAAGAAAAGGAGAAATCAAGCTACGCCTTGCCAGCCACGCAGGCCCTCTGTGAGTACTGAGGTCCTGGTCATTACACACTCATGACTTGGATTCTAATGCCCTAAATGGCTTGGGACCAGGATACCTGAAGGAGTGCCTTCTTCCCTACATGCCCTCCTGCTCCCTAAGATCTGTAGCAGAGGCCCTGCTCCGGGAATCCTCCTTGAAGGAGGTTAGGGGAGTGAACGCCTGGAAAAGGGCCTTCTCTGTGGTGGCACCCCGACGGTGGAATGCACTCCCCAGAGAGGTCTGCCTTGCACTGACTTTGTATGCTTTTCGGCACCAGGTAAAAACCTTTTTATTTACCCAGCATTTTAAAGCTTAAATAATTTTAATCTGGTTTTAATAATATTAATATCCTCAGTTGCTTTTTATCTTGTTATTTAGTTGTAGATTGTTTGTGTTTATTGTTTATTTATATTTTACTGTCAGCTGTCCTGAGACAATTGGTCGTATAGAATGGGATAAAGATGTCCTAACCCTAAATAACGCGGCATTGATTGCCTGCTGCGTTCTGCTTGCCCAGCTGTGTGGGGATCAGAGGCACACCTGCAGGCGAGCAGCTTGGCCATTCCCCCTGCCAACGAATCCAGAGAGCGAGAGCCGCGGAGCCAGGAGCAAGGTCGTCTCTGCCTGCAACCCCTGAGAAGTTCGGCTCAAGAAACCTTGGTGGTTTAGTTCAAGCAGCAGTGGCTTCGGCGATGAAAAGGAGGACGCCTGGGCTGCTCGGCCAGATTGTCACATCAGGGTCTATCAAGCATGGGCGTACATAAGAGGATTCGAGGTCCGGGCGACCGGTGGCATACGGACGACCTTTTGCCCATGGGCTGCTATGCTCATTTTCCCCAGCCTGGATTGTTTTGCAAGCTCACACAGAGCATAATGTTTTCGTCGATAACAGCATGTTGCTATTTATGCCTACACAATTGAATTATTTCATCCTAGCTGAAATTCAGAGGAGCAGAACAGAGGGGAAGAAAGATGTCAACAGTCCGGGAAAGTGCAGGCCACAGAGGAGACTGACAGCTTAAAAGGATTCTTGCAAGATTGTTCGTGATGGTAATACGGTTATTTATTGCCTTTTAATAAGGCTCTGTCCCCTTTCTGCTGCCCTGCTTCTTCCTCAGCCTCTTTTGTCCTCTTGGCAGGCAGTTGGTCCATGACACTGGCCAGCACGGTGATGCAGCAGAACGTGACTGTCTGAGGGACACCGCATCAGTCTTCTCGAAATGACGGGCCCTTCTTTTTTCCTTTCCTTAACGCTAATTAAACCCTCATCTTCGTCTGACTCATCCGTAAAGCATTTACAAATGGACCAGTGTAGGAGCTGAATCTGAGCCTCTTAAAAGAAGCTACCTCCAAAGACTAGCAGAGCAAGAACTATTGCTCTTAAAGTAGCTAGAACCCTTGGGTTGTGGCATTATTGATGGTAATCCTGAAACTGCCGCCTTGCCATCCTTTGATGGTTCTGTATGTGGCTTTTGTTTCTTTCAAATGTGCCCCTTACTTCTTCCCAGCCTTTCACAGTGGAGCAGTTCTGTGGAAACAAGCAAAACTGACTTTATACACAGGTAAGAGGCACACTATGAAAACCTGGAGGAGGGACAGCCATGGCAGAGGTGGGAATCTGACCCACTCCGCACCCCTCACCTAGGTTAGCCAAAAAATATAAGCAGCCTTGCTCCACAATGCTTCGTGCCCGGGGGCATTTCTCTGCCATGAAGCTCACGTGAGCGATCCAGGCAACCTGAAAAGAACTTTTATTTCTGCAGAACCCCCAGACGTGTTGGGAACGGAAGATGCATCATTCTTGGCCCACTTTCCAGGGTCAGGGTTCCACCCTTCAGAGGAGGACCGTAACGGCTGGGAAACGGGGAGTGTGGAGATCCAGAAGGGTGAGGTTATCTCAGGGCTGATGCCTCCAGGTGCTCGGGCAGACCGCGGGAACAGCATTTGGAAGAAAAGGGAGGGGCGTAGACCTAGGAGGGTGCCCTTCTCCAGCGGGTGAAGTCCAGGGCTACTGAAGAGGAGGGTCTTGGAAAGGAGCATCTCATTTGGGTTCAATGAGTCACGTTGTACACACACGGTGACCCTTCTTCCAGTGGCTCTAGTTTGTTCATCGTTCAATGGAAATAAAGAGCTCTTTTGCAAAGAGGGAGTCTGTTGCTTGACAGGAATACGGGGCAACCCAGCTCCCCACACGACTGGCTCAGTACCTGCCGTCATTCAGGGCCTCCTGCTCTCCCAGCCCTCTGCTAGCAAAGGCAGGACTGCCAGCAAGGGAAGGCATGGTCGGGCACCTGTCAAGGGCCCACAGCCCAGCGGAAGCCCTCTGGCAGGAGCCACCTGGAGCTGCTCCTCTTCCTCCCGCTGCTGGCTCCCCCATCCCGCTCTCGCTCTGCGCCAGGCCGTGGTGGCGGCGGAAGGAGGCGCAGTAGATGCTGCGGCTTTCTCTCTCTCTGCCCCTGCCTGCCAAGCGACGGACTGCAAAGGGGACAAGAAGCCACTGCACCCGTAGTGATGGCAAGCAGGCAGCCCGCTCACGAGGGGAGGAGCCCCTGAAGGGCGCCTTGCCCAAGGGCCGCCAAAAACCGAGGGCTGGCCCGGTACAGAGGGATTCTTCCTTGAGATCCAACAGGAACAAAAGCGGCCGCAGCTTGGTGACTTTGTGCTTTCTCTCTGGGACAACTCCGTGGGGCGCCCCATTGTCAAGCAAATGGGCAGCCGCCTGGGGCACATGCCAAAACCACGATGACTACAGCAAACCGAGGGTTCTTGAGTCCTCCTGCGAACAGGTTCGCCCACATGACAGCACTGCTGTGTGACTAAAACACCTCGGATGGCATGCAGGATACAAATGGAATAAAACCATGCCAACCGCCCCACTTTTAAGCCACATTATCCATTCTTTCAAGTGTTTTCTTGCTCTGTCACTTTGCTATCTCTAGCTCTTCTCCTGTTAGACTCTAGTTCTGACAGTGACATATAAATAAGAGGAGGGGGAATCATGACAGACGGTGAAAACAGCTTGGAGGCGGCTGCACACCTGCACTGGGAAAGCAATCTCAATTACCAGCAATTTGAGACCCGGCGCAGTAGATGAGGAACCTGTTTCACCGGGGGGGGGGGGCTCCTCCTCCTCCTCCTCCTCCTCCAGTAAATAGTCACACATGGCAATTATCACATTATTCCTCAGAGGGAGTAGGGGAGGGAAGAAAAGGAGAAGAGGGGACAGCATCACGGTGCACAGCCTGTTTCTGGAAGTCTTCCCCCAGGACTTGAAGCTCCAGAAGTACAGACCAGGCTGCCATTTCTGCTAGAGGTTTCAAATGGAGCAGTTCTGGGCTCGACCAGCACCATGGCCAGGCCAGGCTGTGTGTGACCATGCCCAAATCCAGATCTAGGCCCAATGGAGAGTTTCTGGCATCGGCTGCCAGGAACCCTGCAGGTTAAAGTTACTGCTCTCTGGACTAGGCAAGGACTGGCTTCGTCCTAGCATTTCTCGCAGGGCTGACTTTTCCAGAGACCTCATAAGGGCAGGCGAGTGGTGGTGGTACCCTCCTGTGTCCAAAGAGGGCTCGTAAACCCCCAAGATTCCTAGTGTTTTGCCAGTCATCCTCCAGGATTGACCTTGCACCATAATACTTTGGCTACATGGGGCTGCCCTTGAAGACAGTTCAGAAGCTTGCCTTGTGTGAAATGCAGCAGCCAGAGTAATCGCTGAGACCAGAAGGTCTGAACACATCAAACCAGTTCTGGGTGGCTTGCCCTGGCTGCCCATTTCAAGCCAGTTCAGGGTGTGGATGTAACCCATGAAACCTTGATGGGGTGCTTTCCCCAGCCACCATCTCCCCAGACACCACAATCAGTATCTGGGGCGTTCATCTGGGCACCAGGAGGAATGCAATAAGAGGAGGGCCTTCTCAGTGGCGGCCCCCAACTAGGGCATGCTCTCCTTACTGAGACCTGTCTGGTGCCTACCTTGTCATCCTTTCAGCACTAGATTAAGACGCACTCTTTGCTGAGGCAGTTAATGACAAACAGTGGGTCTGAGGAGAGCTCCCATCCCAGAGCTCTAACAGGTCTACCCTGTGTCATGTGTTGCTTTGTTGTTGTTAGTCGCAAAGTCATGCCCGACCCATCGCGACCCCATGGACAACGCTCCTCCAGGCCCTCCTGTCCTCCACCTTCCCCTGGAGTCCACCTAAGCTCACGCCGACTTCTTCAGTGACTCCGTCCAGCCACCTCATCCTCTGCCTCCCCTCCTTCTTTTGCCCTCTATTGTCCCCAGCATTAGGCTCTTCTCCAGGGAGTCCTTCCTTCTCATTAGGTGGCCAAAGGATTTGAGTTTCTGTCTTGCTTTAGCTGTTTTTAATTTGTTTTTACATTTCTGAACTCTGAAAAAACAGGCTGTTTTATTGTATCGTTCGCTTTAGGAACTATTGTAAGCCACCTTGGCTATTGGTTATTGGTGGTATAGAAAAAAGTGCTGGTGATGTCGTATTCTTTTGCTAAATAATATAATAAAATAAAATATGACTCAAGCCTGCCACATACTGCATAACCTGGCTGACCAGGATGCATCTTGTCCGCCCAAACTCATATGGGATTGTGTCTGAAAGCCACTTCTGCTTTGTGGCTTCCTAAGAGATTTGTCATTGCCAGACAGTGGAATTTCTTAAAGCACTTTAAGCCGATTCGAACTTCTGCTACCTGGTTCTCAAAAATCTTGGACACTGCCAGGAAAACGGAGAGCCATTAAGTCTATCAAAAAAGAATATTTCAATATAGAAGCTCCTTCTTAAAGCATTATGCCTCCCCTGGGGTTGTAGTCATTCCACCTGATGGGATGTGAAATTTCTATGGGATTATCACTTAGTGCTACTAATTCCCAGCACAGGAATTTCCATTCACAGAACTAGAGAAGAAAAACGTCACAAAGAGTCAGA